TACAGATGTTTCATATCTACTAGTATAACATTTTAATTAAAAGCAATGGAAGCAGTAATAATTATAAACCACAGGAAAGACATAATCCTATTAAGAGTTATCAGTAGTATAACTGGCTCCAGGATATCTATGAACATCCACTTTATTGATGTTTGAGGCCAAAAAACACCTTCTGTCTTAATATGGAGGATTAAGAGGAAATGAAGTCCAGAAGGCAAGCATGTCACATTTGAAAATCAAAATCCTGATTATAGATAAATTTACAATCTTAGAATGCCTTATTAAGTATTTTTTAATTAAGGCAGGATATAAATGACACAGAATTTTCTTTACAGTTTTAAGGACTATTTATCATTGTCCATTTAGCTAAGAAGCAGAAAGGCAAATTGACCAGTTATAATTTTCAAGCTTTTTAGCCACACTGAGGCCTAGACTATATCAAATGTCTTATGGCTTCTTTGTCACATTATTTCATGACGTGAAATATTTTTCAGTCTCACTGTCTCTTAGTGTTTCTAATATTGTGACTTAACATTATGCTATTTGATTCTCCCACAGGTGACCATACCTGTTTATCCTATTTTTAAGCTCTTGCTTTGCCAGTTCATATACAGAGTATGGTAAAATACTGTATTAAAATAGTTAAGGAAAGATATGATTGCTTAATGATCATCCAATTATCTCAGCATTTTGATTAGAGGTCTTCATAGGATTCTTATTAATTCCTCACTGCAAATGTGGAGCTTTCCAAAACTGGATATTCCTTCTACGGTGTAAGAAAGGAGGCTATTGAGTTTTAGCACACTTTTACAATTAAGCAATCAGTCAACACTATCTGCTATGATTAAGATTAAGCAGATCCAATCTAAAAATCTCCCTAGTGATAGATTCATCATTAGTCATTAATCTCACAGTTTTTAATTAAACCATTGAAAGTGAGTTATCTGAATTCATGTGTAGGAGGCAGAATTTAGAAGAAAAACTATAATGAAATATATATATACACATATATATATATGACCATTCTTAACTATAGAGATATGTATAGTATCTTAAAGCTACAAGAAGCTTCCACTGAAATAACTCCAAATTTGGAGTAACTTTCCAAATCACATAAACAGGCACGTTTCTATTGCCCAGCTCAATTCCTTAGAAAGGAGAAATACTTTAAAATTAGGTATTGTCCACAGGATAGCTTAAAGTAGGGAGAACAAGTATATTTTTAACAATGCAAACTCACAAAACAAATTAAAAATGAAATTTTAGTTTTAATGCTTTAAAAGCCTTAGCAAGTCAAGATAGCATTCCCAGAGATTTGTGGCACCCAATCAATAAAAACAAGTAAACAAAACTGGACTTAAAAAAAATTTAGGTTTATATAAATAAATAATGCATACCTTCTGCAAAGCTGAGTCCTTATTTTCTTCTTGGGATCTACCTCCTCCCTCCCCAGGGGCAAAAGCAGTTATAATAAAGGGTATTCTTGCAATATCTTTTACCACCTGTACCAACTAATTAGCCTTTTTTTCAAAATTCTCCTAAAAATGTAGTTTCTCCAAGTTGTTACACCATTATACTCCCATTTCCCAAAGCCATCACTTTATTATCCTATTTTCTTAATTAATAAACACAAAATTTTTTACTGTCTTCTCAAATGAATAGAAGTTATAGGATCAGTTGTTCAGAAAACATTTCTATTTAACTCTAAAAGTATGATTTTTGTGGATATTGGACTGAAATCTTTTTATTCACAGTAAATTTGAAATGAGTTTATAACTACCAAAGAGTCATTAACTGATAATTCTAAGAATAAATCTTGACTTGGGGTTGTGGATATAGTAGAGTGCGAGACTGCAATTCAGTTCAGTTATAAATACTTACCAGAATTATTAATATCCAAAGAGTTAATTAAAAGCTCACTGTACCTGCACACATTTTTCTTCAGCTATACTTCTATAGTAAATTCTCAATTATCCATGTCAGTGGAGAGGAACAAGACACTGAACAAAAGTGAACTCTTCCAAAATCATTCTTACTTGCTTTTAAAAATACAGATACTGACATTAGACCAGCTGTCGACTCAAACTAAGTGAATTATTGTGAAGGTATTGCTGAGGTCAGGGAAAGTGATCAATGTCTGACAGTCACCTTTTTTGAAACCTTCCCCAAAGAATTTGTATTCAAAAGTCATTCTTGATAAAATTCAGTTGTATCCTAAAAGTAAGCCCACAAAGTAAAATATCTTTTTAAAGTCTATAGCTACCATTAATGAACTTTAAAATAAGTTATTTCATAAGCAGTGATTTTCCCTAGCTGTTCAAACTTTTAATTTTATCATATTTTTTTCTTTTCTTGAGAAGATGTGAAGGTGTGACACATTTATTATCTTGTCTGATTATTTTCCTTACTTAGCAAATCATGCAAATTTGACACAGAGAAGTTAGGTATTTAAACAAAGTCACCTGTCTAAAAAGGTGTAGAACTAGACCTCAACCACAGGCAATTTGCTCCAGATCCCAGAACAATGTGGTCCTGAACCATATTAACATTATCTGGGAAAACGTCTGATTTCTCATACATTGACAATAATTTTTGAGTACGTGAGCTAGGGTCTATTGCCGAGTACTACGACATCCTTGCTATGCCTATCTTTCTACCCAGGGATATTTTAGTTTTGGAATCTGGTGACCTTCTGATTGTTTTTTATGCTCTCAGCCCTTCAAACCCTGATGCAATATTGGATTGAGGTTAGAAATATGGAGTGAGCAAACAAAATAACTCTGTAAACCTCAAAAACTTTTTGCCCCAGAAATAAAATATTTCTTGGCTGCTTCACTGCAACTTGAAGTTCTATAGGTAGCTTAAGGGGAAAATTAAATCACTGTTATAGTGGGTTGTCACTATCACCTTCTGTTCTTTTCACATTTGTCAATTGAACATGTACTCTGTTTTATACTGATAATTTTTTTAAAGATGGCATGCTTCACATATTTGAGACTAAGGCAATGGTCACAAGCAGATAAATTTCTAGACAATGGTTTTAATGAATTCATTCAAAAAAACCAAATCCAATGTATGCATTCAAATCTGATAGAAAACTGAGCCTTCATAATTCATTCAAAAAAATGAACTTTGGTGAGTCAATAGGCTCACCTGAGACATCTACGCTTGAATGTGTTCCTCTAGACTTAATGTATTTTTCCGCACTGCATTATATTTTAATGATGAATTTCATGCTCTTTCATGGTACTCTAGCTCGGGAATCGTGGATATTACTTTGAGGGAAAAGAAAATAACTATGTGTGATGAAAGATGTTACTGATTAAAGTGTGTTGCATGTGTGAATTACATAAAAGCTGAAGAAGCTTAAATACCTCTATTCTATAGTACAAGTAATATCAGGCTGACTAAGGTTAGATTGAGGTGAGTAAATGTAAGGGTCTGAACTTCTTAAATAGTCTTAGTTGAAACAAGTCATGAAATTAAACTGGTCATTAATGTTTCAGTGGCATCTTTTCCTTAGTGTAATGTGGTTAAGAACTGATTTCATGGACAAATGCAAAAGAGCCACCGATAAAGAAATTCAAAATCCAAAAGCTGCCAGCCCTCTGACATTCTTAACTCTGAAATCAGTACATCAGTACCACATGAATATTGTCAAAAGGTTACTATCTGAGCTAGCTTAAAAGGAGGGGGGGCGGGGTGGTTAAGTCAAAGTAACAAGGACCAAAAAGGACAACATAAATCAATCATCTTTTACCTTGTGCATGAATAAATATTGGGTTAAATATATCACACTGATCAATATGAAAAAGTAAACTATCCACAAGAGAAACCACAAGTAAAATTAAGTAGACATGTACACATAGCATGTGTGTGTGTGCTCAGTCATAGTTTGGCTCTAATTACTAAGATGGATTTTTCAAACCAAGTATGGAGTCTGGAGAAAACACTACTACCATCCCCCAAACAGAACACGAAGTTCCTACAATCAATGTTGGAGGCGATGCAGTGGCAAAAGCAGCTCTTTTGCAAACAGGTGGTTTTAAAGTTTTACTTAAGCCACAGACTGAAAGGACAGAGGAAAGGAAAATGTCATTTCTTAAGAAAACACAGGCATGCACGTACATTCTACCAGAGCAGAAGACTCAAATTTTAAAAAGCCCCAAGAAAACACAACAAAAAACTAAAAAGCAGTTTATTTTAGCTCAGAACTGTGAACACTGGATTAGTATGTCTAAAATCACTGCTTGAAATTATATCTCTCTCGTCGCATACATAAAGATCCTCCTAGGGAGAAATTGAAGGAAACGACCATGTTACTTCAGGGTGGGCTTTATTCACAGGAAGAAAGAAGACATTTTTACAGAAACAGAGTGCAAGAGAAAATAAAAAACTGTTGAGAAGAGGAATACAGAGTTTATTTTGTATTTCTGAAGGCACTGTATCTTTCATGTTCTCAATACCCTATCCCGTTCTTCCCTATGTTACTTTCATAAGCAATACTAAGGCTAGCAGTGGCTGCTGTCGCTTACATACAGATCTCCATTATTTCTTTCCTCCACCTTTGCGAATATGCAGAATTCAGCGACTGGAGGTGGGGGCAGCAGACAGGTATCCCAAAACGCTTACAGGGAAAAAAGAGGAGGTGCGGGATAGACTGGGAGATGAACGCCCTTATGAGAAAGTCCATCTCCCTCGAACTCCTCCAGTTCTTCCATCACGGCCACCCAGAAACTTCGGACCCCGACTCCGAGGTAAACAGCCAGGTCCCAACGCGAAGGACAGCCCTGCAGCCGCGGACTCCCACTCTTCTCCCCGCCAGCCCACTCGGGCGCCGGCTCCTCTGCGGCTCCTCCTCCTCCGCAGACTTCCCGCGGAGGCAAAGTTTCCCGAGTCTCCCACTCTTTTCCCGGCCCGGCGGTGGCCGCAGCGCCCTTTCGGGCACCCGCCCGCTGCGCTCCCCGCCCGCCCCTCGCCAGCCCGCGCGCAGTCGGTACCTCGATATCCGCCACGTCCTTGCTTAGCACAGGGGCCATGACGATGCCCAGCGCCTGGAGTTTCCTTGCCACGAACGCTTCCGCGCCCTCAGGCTTCAACCAGACACGAAAGTGACAGCTTGCCCGAGCGCCCCTAGAAATAGGAAGCGGACGGCCGGAGGCGCGGAGGCGGGGCGGGCGCCGGGCGGTGCCGCCCCCGGGGCGGGGCTGCGCGCGGGGCCCTGCGGCTACTCTAGCCCCGCACAGCGGGCAGAGCCGGCCGGCTGGAGCCCGGCCCCGGCTCCCGCCTCCGCCCCTCCACCTAGCAGCTTGTTTTCCTGCTACTCGCGGCGGGAAGGGAGGGAGAGAGCGCACTGGCGTTCGGGACTGGCCTTTGCTCTATAAACTGTTCGAGGCAGAGCTAGGTAGGTGGGGGCTAGATGTGAGAGAACCACAGGATTAAAGGTAAAAACAATCGGCGCCCTAAGTAACAAATTATTCCTTTTATTTCCTTCCGCAGGAACCCTGCGAGGTGCAGAAACATTGTTTTTTGGCAACTGCAGCTTCAGAATTTCTCAGGGATAAGGTAGTAAATGTTCCTCCGTGCATTCAACAAATAGGCGGGAACAGGCAAGGGCAAGGGTTTTCTGAAAATGGACGGTCCCTGGGAGCGGGAACGAGGCGGGGGCGACGATAAGAGGGACCAGGAAAAGAGGTGAGCAAAAATTTCTACAGTCAGAAGCTGCAAGCAGTAAGTCCTGTCTGTAGGTGATCCAAAATCAAGGTTGTATATTTGCAGGACAATCCATTCTAATGGCATTTAAAAAAAAAAAAAATTCTAAAATGTGAAGCTCTTGTCAAGAGTTGTTCTTTACGTTTTGATTTAGAGCTCGCTGCGGAGAGGGGAGCTATTTCATTTGGAGATGGTCTCAATCCAGAAAATATTCTCTTCTGAGTATATCTGTACTCCAGATGTCTCTCTTCATTCTCCCTCCATCGTCCTCCCTTCTCCTGAAATGCGTCTTGCTTACTTCTGTTAAGGATTTTATCACACTTCTTAGTTCTCTTGGCTAGACAGTGAGCACCTTGGGTTCTAGTATTTCCTCTTTATCATTATTCTTTCATTAGTTCATCATTTCATTCAATAAATATTTATGGAACATTTTCATTACCAAACACCGTGTTAGGTGCTCTGGCTATAGTCTTCAAGAAGAAACATCACTCTCATGGAAAGTTACTCAGAAATGAGCAAACTAATGGGAGACTGAGATGCCTGTCTGGAAGATAAAAGAAGGATTAGGATAGAATTAATGGGGTGTACCTTGGACTGCAAGGAGATCCAACCAGTTCATCTTAAAGGAGATAAATCCTGAGTGTTCATTGGAAGGACTGGTGTTGAAGCTGAAACTCCAATACTTTGACCACCTCATGCTAAGAGTTGACTCATTGGAAAAAACCCTGATGCTGGGAGGGATTGGGGGCAGGAGGAGAAGGGGACGACAGAGAATGAGATGGCTGGATGGCATCACCGACTCGATGGACAAGAGTTTGCGTAAACTCCGGGAGTTGGTGATGGACAGGGAGGCCTGGTGTGCTGAGATTCATGGGGTCGCGAAGAGTCGAACATGACTGAGAGACTGAACTGAACTGAACTGAATGGGGTGTGAGTGCTCACTATCATGAGTGGGTGGGAAGACTTCTTTAAACAAACCACCAGACTACCTTCCAGAACCTGGAATTTACTAGGAGATGGATACATTTTTCTTAAGTAGTGTATTAAGAGAATGTAGAAAGTTACACAGAAGCCTTGAAATCTTTCTTGACTCCTCTTTTCTCCCATATTTAATGAGCATCCCCAAGCTCTCAGGATTCAACTTCTTAAACACATCTTGGAACATTTCTTCATTTCTCCACCTTCACTGAACCCACCAAGAGCTGAGCTGATTGTATTGCAACTTCTGTTCTTACTCTTTTTCACTAAGCTTTAAAAAGTATTAATTGGCTCATAAAACACACAGAGAATAAATCTTTCAGTGATTCCCACTGCATTCAGAAGAAAATACAAACTTCATAGTGGCCTCTGAATAACCAGCCCTTCCCCTCTTCCGCAGCTTCACTCTAGGGCTGCTCTTGCCAAGAGTCACTGTGTTCCAGTTACAAAGGACTCTTCTGTTCTTCTACCACTTTTCTCCCTTTGTGCATATGCTCCATTCCATTGGTACCTTAGATCTCAAAGAAACCTCCCCTGACCCATCCCCACCACCAACAAAATTAGACCCACCCTGTCTCTGTTATCCTTTCACGGCACCCTATTTTTTTCTCCATAAGTAAGTAAGTGAGTGTTAGTCGGCCAGTCATGCCTGACTCTTTACGAGACCCCATGGACTGCAGCCCACCAGGCTCCTCTGTCCATGAGATTTCCCAGGCAAGGATACTGGAGTGGGTTGCCATTTCCTTCTCCAGGGGATCTTCCCAACCCAGGGATGGAACCCAGGTCTCCTGCATTGCAGGCAGATTTTTTCCAACTGAGCTACTCAGCCCCATAGCCCTGTCAGATTTTATTTGCCTATTTATTTGAGTGTGATTTGTTTAATATATGTCGTCTATTTAGAATGTAAGCACCAGAAAGCAAGGGTACATATCTGGCTTGGTAGCTTACTGAATATTCAGTTTCTAAGCGAGGACTGAAACATACAAGAGAAATACTGAGTGACTGAATGAACTCAGTAGATCCTGAAGTAGATTTACACACTAACCAGTTTGTTTTATAAACTGTAGTTTCACTTTACCATGTATTCTTCTCAATGTTCTACTTATTTCCTGACCACAGAGATATAGATTTAAGTGTTCTTTTAGGTTGCACACTAATACAGATCTTATCAATTAGCAATCCATACTTCTTTTTTGGTTGTTTTATGGGTATAAGTGTCCTGTTATCCTTAAGAGTTAGAACTGTATTTCCATTTTTATTTTATGTGACTATTATTCTCTTAAACCACTATACAGGATAAGCCCCAAATATGGTGTCTTTCCAAAGATGAGAGATTCTTCAGTGGTACTCAGTAATCAGATATAAAATTTAAATGTTATTTTACCATTCCCTCAACCTCACCAAACAGATGTATTCTATTCTGATATATTTAATTAAGGCATATAACCACATTGCTCATATGCCACACCTATACTCCATGATCAGTGATTGAATCTAATAATATTTTAAATCCATTGAAATTCCACATTAAACACAGTTGTACCTGTAAATAATCCAAGCTGTTTGAAGCTTACTGCAAATGCATTCACAGTACACTTTTTAAAGTTGTAAATTATGATGGCATTTGTCAAGCTGTCCTTCCATCTGGAAGCACAGTCAAATATCAGGTGTTCCACATTAATTTTTTTGTAGGCTTTGGCAAGCAGCTCATCTAATAAGGTGCAAATTTACCAAAATGCATCTCAGCCTAATAATTTACATTACATAATTGAATATTACTATTATTACTATAGTCAGAAGGAAGGTTTATGAGTCATCTTTCATTTCTGGAAAGTTATTCAGTACCACAAACTTAGAAACACAATAAACATGTAGATTTCCACATGCTTTTATGTCCCTGCTTTACTCAAAAATTAAGCAATTTTTAAAACATTCTTCAGGGGGGCAGTCCTAAGATGGCGGAGAAATAGGATGGGGAAACCACTTTCTCCCCCACAAATTCATCAAAAGATCATTTGAACACTGAGCAAATACCACAGAACGACTTTTGAAGGCTGGCAGAGGACACCAGGCACCCAGAAAGGCAGCCCATTGTCTTCAAAAGGAAGTAAGACAAAATATAGAAGATAAAAAGAGAGACAAGAGAGTTAGGGACAGAGACACATCCCAGGGAGGGAGTCTTAAAAGAGAAGTTTCCAAACACCAGGAAACCCTCTCACCAGCGGGTCTGTGTGGAGTTTCAGAATCTCAGAGGGCAACATAACCGGGAGGAAAAAATAAGTAAATAAAACCCACAGATTTCATGCCTAACTCAACTCCCAGCAGAGAAGTAGCCCAGATGCTTGCGTCTGCCACCAGCAAGCGGGGTCTGAACCGGGAGGTGTGGGCTGCATTGCTCAGGGTAAGGACCGGGCCTAAATGCCCTGAGGGCAATCTGAGGGAGCTCGCATGAATTAGCAACCCAAACTGTGGGATAGCCAGAGAGGGAAAAAAAAAAAAAGAGGAGAGAAAGAGAGAGAACTTTCCCATGAAAAGCTCTAACCTAAGGCACTGCCGGGCCTGCTCACAGAACAAAGGACTGAGCCAACACCAGAGGAGAGTCAGCTGGCTCTGGATTGGCCCATCCCCCGCCAGAGGCAGGGAGGCAGGCGGGCGACAGCCAGAGCCGGAAGGAAAGGGGCAAACTCAGCCCCAGAGATGGTGTGCCCTACCAAACTGTGAGGCTCCCAGTTGCTAACCAAGTCTTCCTGAGATCCTGGATGGTTGACATCCATCAGGAGGGTCGCAGCCAGAGATCAGCGCCCCAGAAGAGACACACGGCACATCTGAGACGGCGCTCCCACTGTGCACCCAGGAAACCGGGCGGCTGGGACCAGAGAGGTGATAAGACGCACCGCCCGGGAAGAGTGCGCTTGCCAACTACCTGGTCGCCTGAGCTGCTTGGACCTGGGAAGGGCATGAAACGCAGGCCCAACTGAGTCTGTGCCTTTGTGGAGTACCCGAGAACCTGAACATGAGCAGCGTAGATCTGGGAAGTGCATGCAACCCAGGGCCGGCCTTAGACAGTTCCCCTGCAGAGAAACCTGGAGCCTGAGCAGTGTAGACCTGGAAAGCACACATGCTGTGAGCGGGTGCAAACCCAGTGTGGCCCAGACACTGCGAGCACTCCCCACACAGGCCAGTGATACTGTTTGCACTGCTCCTCCCTCCCCGCAGCACAACTGAACAGTGAGCCTAAATAAGTGACCACCTTCGCCATCTTGTGCCAGGGCAGAAGTTAGATACTGAAGCCACTTGCAAACAGAGGAAGCCGAAATAAACAAAGAAGAGGGAAAGGCTTTGGAAGTGACAGGTGCAACAGATTAAAACCCTGCAGTTAGCACTGGCTACATTGGAAGGGACCTATAGACCTTAAGAAGAAGTATAAGGTGGAACAAT